TTTCAAATTTTCCCAATATTTTCAAGCTTCTTGACGGCAAACCCGGCCAATGTCAAATCAATCTCTTTCGCTTCTTTTTGCCTTTCCAATGTGTGCCGACGATGTAGGTAACCCCTTTCCTTCTTCCAAGTCCACACCACCGGTTTTTTTCTTTTCTTTCAGATAGCCTGCTTCAAGACATCGACAACCGCCTGCGATCTCAAAACAATATCGTTGCCGTAATCCACCTGCGGGAGACCAATCATGGTGAGCAGCTTCGGGTTGGCAATCATTTCGTTGACCGTCGCCGATCGGCCGCAGACGTCGACAAAGGACTCCGCGGCTGCGTCGGGGCCGCTGCGACCTGGTACGCCTGGGAGTGTTACTCTCCATGTCAGCGATTCGGGCTCCTCTTTTTTTCTTGGTTCCCCCCCTCCTCCTTATCCGTTTCCGTACTCCTCCCACACTCCAACTTCTCCGTGCCGCCGGCCTGGCCCCCGCGCGCGCGCACTTGCGCGGCTCGGAGGGAGGGGGGGAGGGGTGGGCTCGGGTACGGGGTCCGACAATACATCTCTTTCCGACCTCAATTAAAGGTCGACAAGAAAAGGGACAACACGTGCAGGGACTGGAACCTAGGCGGGCGTCATGCCATTTCAACAAACAAAAATGGTCCTAACCGATATCTTGCTGAGGGATCTGCTCCGGATACCGCACGGGCTCGCCGTCGCGGATGTGGTCGAGCTCCGTCATGATGTACCGGGAGCGGTTGACGTAGTCCCAGACGTGGAAAAGACCCTTGTGGGGGTTCGGCGGGCTCCAGGCCGGGTGGGCCTCGATGGCGTCGATGAGCTCCGTGAACTTTTCAATGATTTTGGCGCGGTGCTCGGGGGAGGGGAGGCTGAGGGAAGACATGATGGGTAGATAGGGAAGACGTAGGGGGAAGTATGTTCAACGCCGATGTGGAAAGTGAAGCAGGCGGGAGGAGAAGAGCTGCGGTGTAGGATAAGTAAAGCTGTTGAATATGAGAGTTCCAGACTTGGCTTTGGATAGAAAGCTATAGCAAAGATACTAGAGTCCGCAAATGTCGGTCAATTGGTAGAGTAAAGAAAAGAAGAAGTGGGAGAGAATTGGGAGGAAAAATCCTCCGAAAGCTTCCTCAATGTCAACAAACTGTCACATGGAAAGTTTCCTCTTCTGTGAGTTGTCGGTGAGGGTAAGCAAGGGTTTGGAACGCGTTGCCGCGTTATTGTGGCATGTTTTCCAATCGCACAGACTCGGCTGGGCAACCAAAAGTCAGAAGAAAGCCACAGCTTCAACTCGAATTAGGTTGCGTTTTTTTGGCTGATGAGGGGAAGAATAGCGAGTGGGGTTCAAATGGCGGCATCTACCCTTGAGATGGGTAGAATGGAGGGGTTCGAGGGGTTGATGGGCAAACATGGGGTCAAATGGCTGGTACAGAACCGAAGATCTGCTCTGAAACTGGAAGCTCAGTTGCTGAGTCCATATGACGATCTCGTTACAGACAAGAAAGGTAAGGTAGGTTGCGTGGTTACACAGAGACTAACATCATACAGTATATGCAACATGGTATTAGCCACGAAGCCGACTGGTTCCCAATTTCTTAGAGAACTTCGGCGCCTAGTTCGTGCATGCCTTGGTACTTCTCTTTTTCTCTCGTGGTACCGAGACATTGTTCTCTTCTGGCCGAGCTATGCAGATTTTCCGACCAAGGAGATGAAAGTTTGTGGTGTAACAACAGTCTTACAGCAACTTACGCCCGCAGTGATAGTGATTACTTGTCACATATATTATCCCCAGTGGCTGAGGATTTTAGTCGACAACGCCCAATGAGAAGCTAAAACTGCGGAACAGTTGAAGGATGTGATACTCGATAGATTTTCGCCTCGCACTTCTATTCCGGGCATAGGTGTAGTGCGAATTGCGCTACTCTAGAGTCGAACTCGAGCCATCAAACGACTCTCGTTGCCTCGTAAGGTAGTAGCGCGTCTAACATACACTTAGTGCTGGCAAGTCAGGCTCCGCGGTCCCGGCAACATTGACTATCTGTGAGGTGAAGATGGCTGGCGGCGGCAACAGCCACGCAAGACGTCTGTGGCCAGGGACAGGCGCAAGACCGGCTGGCAGAGTGGCAACCGCAGAAAAGCTCAACATCTGGCTAGTGCGCAGGAAGCGAGCGGTATGTGAGTAGCCTCATGACTTTACGCCACTACATTGCTTGAGCAAGGCTGAATCGAGATCCTGCTGTCTGCGTTCTTCGACCAAAGAGGCTAGTTGTTCGGGGCACTACTCACATTTGTTAGGCTTCGTGAGCGATGAGCAGCCCCATTGTCTAGTAGTGTTAGGACTGCGATCAGTCAAGAGTCAAGATCCGAGGCTGACGAATAGTAAGCAGGACCAGGACTAGGAATTATGGGAATCGAGGACTAGGTCTAGGGCCAATGAGGACTTGCCAGAGCTGAAACCGAGTTGGGAAAAAAGTCATGTTGCAGATGCTCATGAGACTGAGAGGGAGACATCCGAGACACGGTCGCCCGAAGGATAAGTCAGTTCTGCGCTTCTCAGACCTAATAGGGCGACTTATTGCCTAGATTGCCGAGAAGAAAATAGCCAACAAGTCCAGAACTTCAATGTTGAGCGAGAGGTACAGAAAGCAGCGGGCGTGAAAGGCAGGGGCGAAAAGTAGCCAAAGTGTCATGACGCACTGGATCTGAGAAGCTGAGCTGCATCTGAGTGGGCGCGGCAGCGAACAAGGCGCTGGAAAAAACGCTGGACCCTGGCTTGCCCGGGCATGTTTGCGCTGTCTTGGGTACGTGCAGGCGCTAGCGCCGATTGCCGGCCACAATAGAACCGAGCGGGATCGTTAAAAGCAGTTGCGATCACTTTCCAGAAGGCTCATCTTCGTCCGACTCAAGCATCGAGGTGGGAGGAAAAAACGCAGTTTTGTGTGGGAATACGGGCCACAGGCACACATTGTTGCCTCAAGTTTCCCTGATGAGAGACAGAGGCGTCCGCCCAGTGGTACTCGCGAAGTCGTGGTACTTGTCGGCATGGATGAAGCGTGGTGAATGGCCATGCTTGCTGATGTCAGGGTCCTGGGTCTCGTCCGCATCGAGATCTGGCTGCGGCCGACACGAATACCTAGGTGCGTGGTAGTATTTTGCGGTGTGGCAGTCGTACTCGTAAGTTGCCGGCCACAGTGGTATTTCGGGTTTTGGCCTTTCGGAAATTGTTGGTTGGACGGTTTGGGGAGATGGAGAGTCCCTTGCAGATTTACGGTTACTGAATCTTTTCCCACGACATACGAGAGATTGCTTGTGTCTTGCCGCAAAGTCGATAGATCGCCTACCCTGCAATACATCCCGGCCGGGATTCGGACCAGAACAGACAAGAGCAGACGGGAGGGACTCGTGGAGGCGGGCCATCCTCCGAACATCACGTGGCATGTGTTGTCTCATGTCTTGCTGAGGTAAGCAGTCCCGACAGCGCGTGTGCACCTTCCAGCAAGCCCGCAGAACAGATATCCAAAAGAGGGGCAACAAGATGCTGAATTGCGTCATACCACAGGTCCGTATCTCTGTAAACCTGCAAGTACCAATTGACAGTGTCCGACAGCAAAACTCATATAACACAAGGCAGGTTGTCTAGGTTCTAAGGCTCCCTCGAAACAAATCAGGCAGTCGACCCCTCCATCAATTCGAGGCAAGAGGCAAAAACACCCCGATCAAGCGTCTTTGAGCACATGAGATGAGCTGAAGATCTAGGACATCTACCGAGTTTAAATGTGCGTAAACACTGCTCCACAAATATTACAGAGTTTCCAGCTACTGGGAATTGCAGATCAGAAGAACAGTTAGTGCCGGTAAAAACCAAAGGCAGCTCGTAGCTCCAAGGTAAGGCAAGCCCACAGTCGATCAGCCCGCCGTGCAGCCGTTGAGAAGGGAAAATCTAGAAAGAAAATGCACTAGGCACGGAGAACAAAAACTGATTGAGCCATGTTGTCCCAATCGGTCTCCCGTTCTCGCACTCACGCTTCAGGTTCTCTCGCCCGTCTCTATTGGACCCCGTGGTGTCCAAGACTCCAAGTGTCGTCACAACTAGCCTAGAAATTTGGCTACTGACAACAGCCCGCTAAACCCTTTTCCGACTAGGCGCAAGGGGCCCCGTTCAGGGCATCTGGGAAAGAGCCACAAGAGCCCGCCCATGCGTCGTCGCCTGCCGCGAACTTCGCAACTTGTACCGGTACTTGACATGACCTTGGAATCTCGACAAGGACCGCCGGGCCTGGCGCTGTCCGGGGGCGGCTCTCTTGCTGCTTCCTCTCATTGTTCTTTCCTGCTTGTTGCTGAGATGTCGCTCCCATGGCTCCCCAATCGTAGCCCACCTCTGCCTTTCTCTCCAATTTCATTGACCTCATTGCACGGCCACACCATCCCCCGAACGCACCCCTCCTAAACCGTCCAGCCGCCCAGCGAATTGGTAACTCGACGTTAAATGTATGACGCCTGCCAGTTGTTATCCACCATCATTACCTTCGCGCCCCCAAACGTACTCTTTCTATGCGACAGACACTGGCTCGGTACATGCATCCCGCCAGTTCTCCAGCTTCTAGCTCCGGCCCTCGGTCTACTAGCTTTGCCGGTCTCTCTTCACCTGTCCGCTTTTGATCTCGTTCAGGCGCATCATGAGATCCGCTCGTTTCTGGAACCTCTGCAGCCCTGGTGATCCCGCATATATGACCCCTGGTCACTGTCCCCCCGTCTCTTTCTTGCTGGATCTTACATACGCTCAGGTGGCTACACGAAATACATAGCCATCCTCCACCACTCGACCTCGGCGGCGCTTCGTTTAACTATCTCGACTCACCGACGATACGTCCATTATACACCACGAGAGCAGGATCGTGCTAGGGAAGAAAAGGTCATTTACGAAACGAACCGGTCGCGAACTCGTACAGACATCTACCTAAGCTGTGCCAGCACCGAGCTGGTGGAGACGGCTTCATGTCCTCCGACCAACCCCGAGTCGTCGAGAGCAGACCATCGGCCCTCACGTCCAACCCGGTACACGAAGCCGAGGACGAAAAGGATCATGGCACTGTCGAACGGCCACTGGAGGGCGACCAAATTCGAGGAGTCATTCGCCTGATACAATGCCGAAAATGCTCCCACCTTCTCCAAGAGCCAATTACACTTCCTTGCGGTCGAAGCCTCTGTAAACAATGTGTCCCAGAAACACACACTCGAGAAAATATATCATATCCCGCCACGCCAAATAGATTACAAGGCTTCGAATGCCCTTATGTGGAATGTGGGAAGAACCATGCCGTGGGCGACTGTGGCGTTGATGTCATTCTCACCAAGGCAGTCAACAACTTCAAGTCTGAGATGGAGAAGGCGAAAGAGACGAGCACCAAAGCCGAGATCTCCACGCATGTCATCATCAACAGTTCAGGTGCTGGGCAGTCAGATATGAGGGACGACAACGCAGAAGTGGCGAGGGTTGTGAAAGGAGGCCCCCTGCTCGCAGTCTATACGTTGGCAGATACAGGCGAGTTGGACTACAACTCAGCCGTCACTTTTGCCGAAGTCTCGTCACTCGGAGATGAGGCTACATCAATCGACTCAAGGACATTTTCCAAAGTAAAGGAATCTGTACGCACGGAAATGGACTGCCAGGTTTGCTATGCCTTGTTCTACGACCCTCTCACGACAGTTTGCGGCCACACTTTCTGTCGATCGTGCTTACACCGCGTGTTGGACCACTCCTCCTACTGTCCGATTTGTCGACGAGGGTTGTCAGTTAGCCCTCTGCTATACCAGGAGTCATGCCCATCAAATGAGAGTCTGAAAACCATCATTCAGACTTTTTGGGCCGATGCCGTTCTCACAAGAGGCGATGCTTTGGCGGCGGAAGCAATGAACAGACATCGGGAGTTTGATATTCCTATTTTTGTCTGCACATTGTCGTTTCCAATGATGCCGACCTTTCTCCATGTCTTTGAGCCGCGCTATCGCCTGATGATACGCCGAGCTTTGGAGGGCGACCGAACTTTCGGCATGGTGCTACCTCAACGACCCCGGACAGCTAACGACACACACTTTGTACAATACGGAACCCTCTTACGCATTGTGAACGCCGAGTACTTTGCAGACGGCAGGAGCCTGATCGAGACATCTGGCATATCACGCTTTAGAATAACCAGACATGGCATTTTGGATGGATATTTGGTGGGGAAAATTGAACGGATTGACGACATATCGATCGCGGAGGAAGAAGATCTAGAGGCAACCGAGACACAACAAGCCCTAGAAAGATACGAAAGCGCAGCTACACACCAGAGCGAAGACTCGAGTTTGCCGAGACCACTCACGACTACCCCCGAGGATCTCTCAACAATGCCAACTAGCGACCTTCTGTCCTTGGGTGTTTCCTTTGTGCAGAGAATGAGGCAACAAAGCGTGCCGTGGCTGGCACAACGAATGCTGGCTATTTATGGGGAATGCCCCAACGATCCGGCACTCTTTCCTTGGTGGTTTGCCAGCATCCTGCCAGCCAAGGAATACGAGAAGTACAAACTTTTGGAAACACGAAGCGTCAGAGAGCGACTCAAAATCTGCTGCGGCTGGATTTTGGAATGGGAGTCAAGCAGGTGGTGAGTAATCCCTGCCCGATGCTTTCTTCTTTTGCGCCCTTTTGTTTGGAGTTTTCCCGCACCGATTCAGACGCTCTGCGAGGGTTCTTTTATAGAGACTCGGTGTGGATGTCATTGTTGCCCCCGTTTGCTTGTTATTAGACAATTAAACAGACGGGCTAAGGTGCAGAAACTTTCAGGAGGGCCCTTATTGACGGCCGCTCAGGTCCCTCTCAGACTGCAGAATCTTCTGATGCTGGGGACTAGCTCAGCTACGGGCGCCGAAGGCCTCGCCCAAGAGACATGAATTGAAATTGGCCACGAGGAAGCCGAGGTCTTGGCCTACGAGGGTTGACTTATCGACTACAAGGCTCCGTCTCCACTGGGATGTTAGGATGCGGGGGTGGCAGTTGTCGTAAATTTCTCGCATTTGCATGGCAGCATTGGGCATGTACTAGGAATCCTTCACGGCATTATATTACGACACAATACAGATACCAAATTGGCCTATGTAGGTATACTAGAGAACCATGTCAAACAGAAGTTGAAGAATGCAAATTCGCTCATGTTTCCGACGTATGCAAGTTAAAGTCGATGTCTAGCTGTTATCTTACCCAGGGCAGCCTCGAAGATTACAGCTTTGTTGATGATTCTCATGCTTCGTCAGATACCCCCGATGTAACCAGGGATATATGCTCAGCAAGTGCCACCACGGGAGGGATGTTCTCCAGAGGGGACATTGGCACCTTCATTCATACTAGACAAGCCTACGACCGTCCGTGACTTCCTCAAAATATTTGGTCGTCGTTCACTTCAGACTACAACCTTCACACATCCATCCGCCTTTGCCACAACACGACCGACTTTGCCATCTTTCAAGCAACTGTCTTTCCGTCATCATTCACCATCTATTGTTATCACCTCAGAATGTATCCCACCGCTTCAAGGACACATTCAACGACAAGCGCTTCGGCAAGGAAGCCAGGAATGATTGAATCAACGCCGTAGCAGCTGTACCCAACGATACAGAGATGCAGAGATAGACGACTGGGAGCAGGACAGCGCACAGCGGACATCGATGAAGGCTGGTGCGTCCGAGTTGGCCGAAAACGGTGCGGAACTGGAAATCATAGATGACTTTGCCAAGAAACCAGTGTTGTAGAGTTAGTATTCAATGTCGGCCTCTTGCTCTGCTGCTACTTATCCTTTCTGTTTGAATGGTGCTGATCTCCATTGCCTTTGTAAGTTGCTTCAATAGAAACTTATGACAATGAGTAAAGTGACTGTGCTCGCAACTAACAACCAAGTCACAATTCAGACGCTTGATTCGAGGTAAACGAGATGCGCACCCCGCCGTGATCAAGCTTCCGTCAAAGGCTAGGTCTGTTGAGAGATCCCCGTCTTTCATTCGGACAAAAAACAGCCTATACGTGAGATAGTCACCAGGACGCAAGAATAATGTCATAACTATAGATTGGCTCGGCTCTTCAGTCTCCTTGCACAATGCTTTGACTTGGAGTTTTGCCAGAACGTTCTCCGCTTGGGAAATCTCTGAGCAATGGCTAGCTCAAAGGGTCTTTCTAGTGGCTTATGACACTCGCGGTGCGTGGATGTAGCCAAGTCGACTTTCTAAAATGGGCAACTTCTACTCCCCGTGCTTGGGCGTCAAACATGACGCCTTTAAGCATTCATGACGCCTCATAAATAGCAAGAAAAGCGAGCCCGAGCCATGTCGGCCGGCACAAATAATTCGAAGGTACCCCGAATTTACTGAATTCCAAAAAAGGCATCGTCAAACTTGCCGTGCTCCATTTCTGTCATGTCTCCAAAAAACATATCATCGAAGCTGTTACCATCGCCCCCGTCGCCGCCCATGTTCATATCGAGGTCCATGTTCTCCATGCTTGTATTCCCATCGAGGTTGAACAGATCGTCGATGTTCGTGGACTCCTGCTTCTCCATCTTGGCTTCCACCGGCTTCTCTTGGCTAGCTGCCGACGCTGTTGCTCCTGCCGAGGCTGGCGGGGCTGCACCAGTCTCTTGTTTCGTAGCGCTATCTGGAGGAAGGAGATTATCGAGCGACAAGAGGTCGCTGCCTATGTCGCCGGAGCCGAATGATATGTCCATGGCCGCATCCTGTACCTGGGCTTGGTCTGGTGCCTCGTTGCTGGGTGGCGCCAAACTGAAGGTCATATCCGTGAAATGGAACTCTGGGTTGTTGCCCTCAGTACCGCCTCCAGAGTCGTCACCAAGACCAAACAAGTCATCCATGGGCGCCTCTGGGGCACCTGAAGGCTGAGGTTGCGAACTTGGCGGCTCGGTCTTAAACTCCTGCTTGATCTCGCCCATAGGGGCCATCATAGCCGGTGGTGCAGCAGGTGGTGCTGGTGTCATCTCCTGCTTCACTTGGGGACTGGGTTCGGGCGCTGGCTGGAAGCCGACGCCCATGTCAGGGAACGGAGCCATTGATGGTGCTGTGCTTGGTTCTGCGGGAACCCTCTGCGGACCCGTAGCCTCCGTGGTCTTGGGTTCATTCTCAGGAGGCGTTGGCTCTCGAGACGAAGAGTCGAGGTCGATGGCCATGGGTGATTTGGTCTGCGCCTCGACTGGCGCAGGCTGTTCCACCGGTTGTCTTGCCTGCTGGAAACGATCCAAATCTCTTTGTAGGGCAGCCTTGGCCCGTATCTGCCGTCGGTGTTACTACTAGACGCAAGAAAGGGACCTCACTTGAGTGACTTACTATCTCGCTCTCCAAATCATCCAGTTTCCAGTGGAAGCTCTCGATGATCTCTGGCATCTTTGTTTGTAAAGAGGCTTGGGCCTGGAATTGATGCCTGCCATCTTTGCTAAGAGACTTCAGTGCCTTGCCTGTTTGGACCAGCTGCGGATATGATCAGCCATTACAGTCACGTATTTGAAATTACCAAATTTTACATACCACATCGTTTATAAGTCCATGCAGTGCTTCCGCAGAGTCAGAAGTCGACGCCTTCGAGTTTGCCATTGCAGCGACGTGACGCCGCTGGCTATGAGTTCAATGGTCAAATATTCTACGAGCTGCTCGCGTTTTCGAGTGCGTAGGATCGATATGCCAAGTCGAAATGCCGCGACACAGTAATAGGTGACAGTCGACCATTCAAGGGGATGTGTCAAACTTGATATTATGAGGTCGAAGAGACTGAGAGAGGCCAGGCGTTTCCGTATGCGTCGATTATGTGAACTCTTCGGCAGTGGAGAGAGTGAGAGAGAATGGAACCGTCGAAGCTACCTTATTGAACCGATTTGATGGGATGATTGAAGTTGATTTGGTAAAAGTAAATCGCTGGATCGTTGCTGAAGTTGCAGTCGATTCTTCGACAACCAACCAAACACCAATGTTTGACGTCTGAATCAGCCAGGTTCCCAGCCTTCCTCTCCGATGAGCCGGTACGTACCTGCGGTGAGTTTAGGTAGATTCTCTGTCGTCGACTGGAAGGCGAGACTGGAGCCCGGGCGCATAGCTTGACCAATCAGACACATTAGGAAGCTCAACCAATGAACAGCCGAAGTGCACATGCGGGCTGCTGTGGCCATGCAGTTGCGCCACGCCCACAGCAATCACAGCTCCTAGCGCCAACGACCTGAGGAAGGAACATTGAATGCACTGTGAGCCCCGGAAGTAACCCCGCACCTGCCATACGGCACGGGGTGAGCGCAAGACAAGCAGGCGGTAGTAGGACACTTTCCCCTCTTCTATTTCCCCTCTGTCTCTGGCTCTGGTTCCACCTTTTCCTCCATGCATCAGATCACGACCGACGTGGAATCTTGGGACGAAGTCGACTGAGAGGGTGTTCTTCAGTTGAAACTCGATTGCGTCGGACGGAAGACTCGTCGAGGGCCGTAAGCCCCTGCGAGGAGCTCTGATCGACGAGAGTCTGGTCTGCCTACGTATGCGTACCTTCAATGTTTGGAGAGGCACAAGCTACCTTGGTCTGTCAACACTTATCTTGCTGATATTGGGTCCCCAGACGGTGACTTGGATTCCCTTCCACGCTCAGTAACAACCAGGCCACATGCGGAAGAGGTTCCCTGATCTCTCGGAGGACGTTGTTGCGGATGCGGAAGACAAGGGCGAAGCCCACCGTCGGAGGTATGGGTAACCCTATTGCTGCCGCCGGTGAGCTAACCCAGGACATCGTTCGTCCCATCGTGCCGGGAGCCCTCCTCCCGGGAAATTGGTTGCGTCCTGCAACGACAAGTTTCGTAACCCACATGCCCGGTCATTGATGCCCGGAACTCTAGCGTCTTGGGGGTCCTTATGCATGCTGAAGCTTGCTGTGACTTTACATAATGTAGGTAAGAGAATGTCTAGCTGTGAGACATCCCGAGCCACCAAATAATCAGTGATGATGAGCCTGATGATATGAAGTCGGTTGTCGGTCAGTCGGTCTTGAAAAGCGGAATGGATCCTTATCTTAGTCCATGTACCGAGGAGAACCCCCGACAGTCTGTTCTTGATTGTGTGCTTGCAACAGGTTGAGCATTGATGTTGTGGTCCGCCAAAGCTAAATGCTTATATTCCATGGTTGAGGCTATTAGTGCCGCCCCCCATCGCGACTTGGCGTGAGGCATGAGATGAAATTCTGGGAGGCTCAGTCGTCTATTGAAGAGAAAGTGCTAGTACAGCTGGTAATTTATTTACTATGCATGCGGCAGGTGAGCCTGAAAGACGCTTAAACAGGGAGTGCGCCGAGGCATAGCTGGGATATCCTTTCCTTTAGGCAATTCATTTGGTACGGTGATCAGTCATGATTTCTGCATTGAGACTCAAGGCTTGGAATCCTTCCTATGGCGACACGTTTGCTACCATTATCCAACTCCGAGGTCAGGGCCCCCATTGAATCGAGTTCTGTTTGTTTGCACTGGCTTTTTCACCTTGGTGGGAGCTCATCTTACATGGCCTGTTGGCAGCCGCAAATTTCATTTCACTGCTACGCATTTGTAACTACGTTCATCCACGTCCAATCGAGAGTGTGATCAATGCAG